GAAAATGAAAAATCTTGTCACAAGATGGCATTAAATGTAAGCAAAGTTAAGCCTTTGGTAAATGGCAACATAAATACTGCTGTTTAAAATCTAACTTTGGACTCTGAGACATGTGAATAAATATTTAAAACATTTTGAAAGACAATCATGCAACTTGATAACCAAGGTTTGAATAAGACCAATTAATCCGAATGGCATTAAAATGTACACCCTAGGCATCACCAGTAATAACTATTTGTTGCAATAATAATAATAATAATAATAATAATAATAATAATAATAATAATAATATTGCAGTCTTACTGTTCTTGAGTGTTTTGTTCTGCAGGCTGTATAAGCGTTGGATCAACGTTTCCTTCTGCCTTTCAAGACGCATATTAAGTAAACCAGCTCGTTATGTGACATCAGCGATGAGGCTGACAGGTAATTTAATGACATCACACCTAACACTCCAGCTGGGATGGAGTGGAAGGTGCTGCTGAGGCTGTCTCTTCATGTTAGCAACACGCGCGGGGGAGAAGTTTGAACTTTGAAGCCTCCAGTCAGCAGAGGATCTTTGCAGGGTCACACTACGTGGAGTTTGACTTATGAATGAGCCTCATGTGATGACAGCGTGATGTCAGTGTGGAGGGGGTAAAAGACAGCACCGCCAGGAGGCTTATACGCTGTAAAACAGTGTGAGCTTAATTTCCCTGGAGCTACACAAACAGTGTGAGAGACACAAGAGAAGATTTTGTTTAACATTTGCATAGACTATCAGGTTCCCACAGGAGGCTGCACAACACTCAACATCAGAGTTCAAGTTTTAATACATCCAGCTGGTCACCCCAGAAATCAAATATATTTAGAGAGCCGTTTTGTAACATTCAAACATCTCAAATAGTTGGAGTAGTCCCACTGATGTTTGTCTCATCAGACACTTAAAGTGAACTCAGTGGAGAAAATGTCAACAGTGAATCAGTCCAAAGTCACAAATTTGATCTGGGAACGACATCAAACCCAACTAAACTGTGTTCCAGTTCCACGTTTAAGCGGAATAAACCCAGTGACCAGGCTAACTGCTGTTAGCAAAACAAGCTAATAGTGTTTTTCTCACTGCTAAAAGCTTGAACTCTGGAGCAGCATGTCCACTAAAGAGGGGTGAACATTAATGTGATAAAAACCATCAGAAGTGCAGGTAAACTTTTTACACAGTCCATCGCTGAGTGTTATATGGAAGGCGCCCATGTTGGGTTTTGAAGTCAGGGCTCGTGAGAAGCTACAGCTTCTTTTCCGACTAGATGTGGACTTTTTATTTATGATTCCAAAGTCAAACATGGATATTTAGACTTCTAAGAAAAATTGAAAAGCATAAGGGAAATGATGAATGCAGCAGTGGTTTGTTGCCCAGGGCAGCATTATGGGGGC